AAGTTGATTCCGTCAGGAAGCTCCCCCCTTCTGTTTGAACTGGAAATATCATAATTATGCAGATTATAGTGTGATCAGAATCCAGTTGTGCAGCTGTTTACGAGAAACGATCTGTTAAGTAGGTAGGAGATGAACGATTAAGAATTTGATACAATGAGTATACAACGTCCATTACCGCAGTGCGAAGCAAGCAGAATCTGTGGCAGTTGAGTTCGCATCTATTTTATTTATTCCACATCGCTATGCATGCCGCATCCTCAGTTAGATTACCATTTAGCAGAAGCCTATTTTTAAATAATTTTGATAGAATATCGAAAAAATGTTTCCTATAGTTTAGTAAGTCTTTGCTGAAAATGCATCTTGTAGAAATAGGCAAAACAGTAATTACATTGTTGTATATTTCTAAGCTTCGTCTTCCAGTTATAGGACACTAAAAAATCTTCAACCTTAACGTCTGCACCTAAGCCTTTGGAGGAAAACCTTTTCTGTCTATGTTTCATTTGATCCATCACATCTTGCTGAATTCCGAATACGGATGCCAAAATGGTATCTGACCTGCAGAATTAGTGCATGTTATTTAAGATTATCATTCTTCGGTTTGTCGCAGTTAGTTTGTTGATTTTTCTAGTAAATATTTTAACGTCTCAACATCAGTACATTAGGAAAAAATGGATTGCTAAAATGTCTGATTTATTTCGTCAAGACCCAGATGGCTGCATACATGATGTATTCTGTTTCTGTGTCATGTTTAATCTGCCTGACATGCAGTTAGTCCAAATAGTTCTTGGAAAGATCCAGCTGTGCATGGCTGCTTGTTTAACATTTATAATTAATTTGCGAAGAAAAATTTACGTTGTGATCCGACCTACTTTTGGAGAGCTTGGATTAAAAATAGATATGCTAGAAGACATTACAGATTTCAAATCATTTAATTGAAGTATAAACGCCTTTATTGAAGATAACAAGAAAATACTATGTAATTAATGGTGAGACTAAATTGAAATTGACTTTGATTTTACGTAGTTTTATGTTCCCAATAAATCTAACTTCTGAAGCTGATTCAATTGCGCTATTCGTGGAATCGGGTCAAAATCACACCGAAACTACTATGAAAATCAAAGCATAAATATTTTGATAATGTTTTGTAGATGTACCTTCTGGAAATTATCCCGTTGGATTTCCCAATGAATCGATTTATGTATATCTGGCGGTTTAGTTTTAAGCTACACGTTGATCTAATAGTGTAACAGTAGTATACAAGTAAATATAAAATGAAGAAACGCACATGCTTAAAATGGTCAATATCTCAGGTTTGCTATTACCGATTTTGATAAAAATAGCGATGTGATGAGCATTAGGCTGAGTTGCACTTACCATTGGAAGAGACATTTACACATTTAACCAAAACATATACAAAATCTGTTGTATCTTAAAATTAGTATTATCAGTATTATTTATATTATTTTGTATTTTAACCAATCAACATTATTGTATTGCGTTACTATTACTTAAAATCGATGCATTGACGGTAATCTGTGAAAAGCACTTAGATTAATTTTTTGTGTGTTAAACTTCCATGAAAAGTTGAATATTTTCTAAGGCCCAAATGATATATGGTTTGTTCCGTTAATTAATTTTTATATTTGCACAATCAGAAAAAATGGTATTTTATGGTCGCATGTCCCTCCTTATAAATTCCTTTCATCTGGTTATTTCATGGTAGTACGTGTATAGAGATAACCAAAAAACAATGTAATCGATTTCTTTGTAGTCCAAAAATGCAATTTTTATTTATTCATTATTCTTATAACTTATTATCTTTGAAAAATCTTTGACTTTCTTTAATCCTCATTGTGCAGCAAATTGAGTTTTCAAGAAAAGCATAGACTTTTTGAAGAAAGTGATGGGAAAGCAAGTAAGCACCCACCTTATTCTTCCATAACAGTGGAATATTCGCATACAATTTTATAGGTGTACTATTATTTGATACAATTAAGAAAAAAATGCATAAAAGTGCATATGTGTCTCATTAAATAGGGCATCCAGGGCCACAGTCGGATTGCCAGATTTTGTATTTGAATATTTTTTATACCTATTTCAACAGAAAGAGATGTTTTCAAAGGACTTTCTTCCATTTCATTTTACCCTCGGAATCTGGGATGTGTCCCAAACTCCACAATTAAGATCGAAACACATTATCCACTGACCATCACGCACGTCATACATTCAGAATGTACCATATAATTATCGACAAGTGTTTCGTAACAAAAACGGCCTGCTTGGAACCAACCTTTCCCTCGGTGCGGTAGACGACTTAAAGATACGTCTAGAATAGCGTCCGCCAGATCGTGACATTCAAAAATGACCCAATTTGGGTTTAAAAACCTGCGTTCGCCACCGGTGATCGTGTGGTTATGCAATGCGATGCTGGGTAGGACGACCAATGTAAGGAAATTACATCCGATTTCTTTACAATGTGGATGTGTGTGACTTTGAGATTTGCCGATCGTGTGGTTGCATCATTAAGGGGACCATACACGGCGACCGACTATATCTTTCTCTGTGTAGCGCTATATAGGGTGTCCTCAACGTCAGGACTTTACAGAGCGTTTAAGGGCCGTATCGTCAGTAGTTCCTACAATTGTAGGACCCCTTTATGGCCTCCTTGATATTCATAGATTTCTACTGTTCCGCGTAAGCGCTCTATTCTGAGCTTATGTTACAAATATCTATTTGCATTAAATTTTTTGTGCCTTTTATTTATTTCATTTGTTATATAGCCTGAAATTTCCTACAACTAAACAAGAAAACATAGCCTCACACTAGGAGAGCGCTGACGCTGATACGGAACAGTAGAAATCTTGAAATGTCCCAGCCTCTCTGAAGGATAGAAAATACTATGAAAATCAAGGAGGCCATTAAGGCGTCCTACAATTGTATGAACGGCTGACGATACGACTCTAGGTCAGACAATATTGATCAAATTTTTTTAGTAACATATATACCAAGGCTATAAGATAACCGAGATATCAGGTTCCAAGAAGCAATAAATAAACCAGTACGACCCTGCCAACCTTCTCTCCCACAGCCTTCTCCTACGTTAGAACGTATGATGTACTAAGACCAACTGAGATAGTATATAATCCAGGCATCGCACGGTGTCTAGGTTAGCCTAGATTATTAACAAACCGCACTTGAAAAACCAAATTTGGAACATTCCTAGAGTATTACGTTATTACGTAGTTATCGATTTGATATGAGCATCTTCAACATCCTGTTGATACTCCACCAGTGTACTCGAAACGTTGCCGTCGTCGTCGATGTTTATTTCCATCAGAGCTGTATATGTTTGTTTATATCGTGCAAAAGATGCCTGGTTGAATACAAGCCTAAATGTTGCAAATTTAGGAAGAGGTAAACAAACTAGTGTTCTTAATTCGAACAGCGACAACTTCAAACAGTGTTTACAAACAACACATGTGATAGGCAGAACTTGAAATTGCTTACCAAATGAACAGTGAGTATTTTCATTCAATTTTACGCCTTTGGTCTTGTTTTGCCAAATTAGCTCTGGTATTGCGAACGTAATTGATGATGTGTAAGTCTTGCCAGCGGTCCTTTTCCTCTTAACACCTCCTCTTATACTAGTTGGCTTGTATAACTGTATTAGGCAGTGACAATGATAACAGGGAATAACAAAAATTCCGTAGCTAGTGAAACTATGGCAATTCGAACTTTGAATATATCCGTCATCCACACTTTATCAATTGAGTGTCATCGAAAAGAATACCTGATTCTGATGGATAGCAGGAATTTGACACAATGCTGTTCGCCTGAACTTTTGCAGATCACTATCACCTCTTTTAGCCTAAATCGATAATTGCAGCAGCTTCTGGGAAGAAGTGCCGCAAGATGCACTTTGAACAATCCAATCTCCTAACTTCTAACATTCGATAAATTTCGAATATTTGAATGAAAAAATATGATTCACCTTGTTTAGAATTCCTCGGTTGGATACTTGCTTTTACAATTTTAATGCATATTATTAGAAGAGATTTGGGCAAAGTGAACACATTCTCTTTTTAGTACAGGCATGCTAATAAATATAAAATTGAGTAGAGTATCCGAAGTGATTTTATATTCATACTTCAAAAAATCAAGAATGATTATTTGTTGGTTGTAGCTATTTACTACATATATACTTTTCCCGAATCCCCGGGTAAAGCAAATACTTATTACCAATGGCTGAGAAATTAGTTTGATACAAAAGTGGACAAGAAAACAAACATCAAATCCCGCGCAAATGTTGAATATACGAGTATATGACATCGCCGTTGTCATAATTGAAGCTGTTGTTTCTTAGCGAATCTTAGTTTTGTATCAACAGAAGTATTTTTTCATTGCTTCTTCCAACCAAGATCTCTGATTTGTATGCTTTTCACATTTACTTATCATTATACAAAGAGTAAAATTGTGTCACTTTGCCCTTATACGTTTTTGCACGCAGTCACCTGTCTGTGAATTACCTTGTTTCCTATCAAAACTATTAATCGAATCCATCTGATCAAGACCATGAAAGACCGTTAAACGTACATTAGGCATCTTAAAAAGTCGATCATGGAAGTTGTATAGAACTAGAATTATGACCAGAACATTCATGTTGCAGAATCAATCTCTTTACTACTACGGCTGCAAAAATTGGTAACTGTTTCACTCATCTGGTACTTTAATTGGTATCGATATTTGTAAAACAAGATTATTTCAGATTTTTTGTTTTGCGTGATTAATTTACCGATTTTTACTGTTCGATTCCTCAATCGAAGGTTTGCTTTCTTAGTTTATACTATTTTTCACATTAATACAAGCTTTGGCGTACGGAGAGTCATAGATTATGATCAAGCCCCAAAGTCACTAATCATTTTCTGTCGAAATTTATACTAATAGTAAGCAAATTAGTACCTACCGACACGCGTGATCATTGTAAATGGCGTCCTTTAACTAAAATAGAGGCCACACACTCGTGTCACGTGCACACTACACCCAGTGAAAGTCTTTCACTTATTTTGAAACACGATTCGTATGGCACCCGCAGGCCTTGCCGTACCAGCATTTGGCTTGGCGTGTGATAGCACAGGGCATTTTGCAGGAAGATTTCACAAGATGTTTTTATCTGCAAATGTTTCAGGGATAATCTTGATAGACCATATTTTATCATACACCCTTACAGTTCTAGAGTTGTCCTACCCGATGTTATCCCTAAAAAAATAAGTCATTCATCATACAGGGATTCATTCTTGAAACGAAAGAGCAGGGTAATTGAGAAAAAATAGGTATGGTTCTCACACATTTCGGCGAAGTGTATTTCTGAGCACTGATACAACACACTTTTTGATATTTCAAAGGCTCCTGATTATTAAAAAAATATATAGGTAAAAGAGATAGGTGGCGGAGGTTGGCTCAAGGGTATCGCAATTTTTTGATGTTAGTTTATTAATACACTTACAGCCCAGGTAATTCTATGCACCTTTTAGATACATTTCACACATCATAAATTTCCCCTTACACTTGCCATTAAAACTTGGAACAATAGAGAAATTTAATGTTTTCGGAATACGGCATTGGGCCTGCTGACTGGCTTCACCGGTCGGAATACGATCTCCATAAGCGTCCTCGCATGACTGGCGCTGTGCCGGGATGCCGCATCTGACGCATCATACGATCAGGTATTGGGGAGAGGCGATGTTGTCAGATGGAACGTTTTTCTCAAAGGGTCTAACTTAAACATGCTACCTTGATTGGATGGAGTAAACTGCAGCGTCAACGTACTCGACGTCACTTTTTTTATGCTTCTATTTTTTTCATATATTGACATTGATTACCAACTACGTAGGCGACGTTCAGTAGGTAGCTCAAAACAAGTAGGACTAACGTCGACAAATAATTTCAAACAATTATATTGTACTCTTTAACAAGGAATATCACTAGTTGCTGATATTATGTTATACACCAGGTTAACTTATCACAAAAGCAATATACTCGTAGATGTCAAAGAAACGGTTGAACTGTAAAATTAAGAGACTATCATGTTCTGGTTCTAGTATTTGAATTTTCATTACGACGGAACCCAGTTTGACTGAACCATTGCTTTTTCCTACTTGCTAGACTATTATCTCGACTGAAAACTTTTAAATAACTTGTCGGAGATGATGCGTTTTGGAAAAAATGCCGCAGGACGTTTACTTAATAGAGATGGGTAATTGCTTTTTTTCAGGAAACGTTTTCAAACTCTTATGCAATTCAATCGGACGGAAAAGCCTTACTTCTTCTACGGGAAATTATGTTAGTTTCCCATGCAGCTGATTACGATGATAGGCAATATATAGGCAATCAATGTTCACTAAGATACACCGACGATTAATAATTAAAAAATGGTAATTTGGGAATAACTTGCGCAAAGTTCGAATTATCTTTGGAGTTGATGATCTTGCATGATAAATGAGTATTCAATATCCCAGAAGCAGCGTAAGATACTTTCACTGCCTGTTGTGGAGCATTCTTGTCCCTGGAGTTTTTTAATCAGCTTGCTTTATATCCTTATGGCACCTGATATTAAAGTTGCATTTTTGCAGATGTGTGACTCATAATTCGTGTAATATCTAATATTCAGCCATCATGTAGTTAATATTTTGATACAAGTCTGGACAATACACAACGATAAAATGCTAAACTTTGTCACAATGGTTGGCACGAGAGAAAATGATTTGTCTTGGAGTTAATACCAACTTTTTAATAAGAAATTCCACAAACTTTTGCAGATAGGATAATAAACTCGCAGTTGGAGAATTTTGGTATAGTAAAAATCAATTTAGAACGGTTCAAGATATTGTATTCGCAAACCGCTAGTCTTACCACAAAATGGAAATAACGTTACAACGAGATTTACGACTCAAAGGGAATTTAGGTCAATCAAAAAACATTTGGTCAATCGGAGGGCTTCTAGCTCTTCTTTCCAGAAGCTTTGCTAGTCGCCAATAGATTTATTACAGATGCACACAATCAACAAAGATTATATCTATTTGATTGATTTTTCTTATTTTAAGCCTACCATGCTGCAGATTATGGTAAAAGAACTGACATACTAAGGCAAACACGATCACCATTGACGACATAAGAAATTTGACTTCCTTGTATCGCAGGTAGGAAGTGAATGAATATTCACGTAGTATATGATTAATTTTATTGGTCATAAAATTGTTACGTGAATGAATGAACAGACCATTTGCCTTGATTCACCATATTTTTCTTGATATATGTTTTGATGATACCATGAATGCTAATTGTCGAGACATGTGCTTGTAAAAAGCAATTGAATTGTGTAAATTAAAAAAGTCATGTATCGACGTCGATAAGTAGTAGAAGTCCGCCAAGGATGTCGCGCTAATGGATTGAGTATACGAGTATTTAGAAAAAGAAAACGTGTTTGTTGTTTAGTTTCTCCTAACTTTCCCATCACTACTATATGTAAAGCGTTTCTGTAGCTTACTACTGAAAGCAGAACCTGTTATCAATAGAGTTCACCAAACCACTATCCTAGAAGATTTACCAAGTTGAGCTAGGATACCGAATTTCGAATGTCAACCGTGAAAATCGTCTGACTTTGCTTGGTTTATATACTTTCATAGCATAGAAGGCATGGATGGCAATGTTTTCATAAAGAACAAGCCATAAAGCTAAGCAAAAAAACATTAACTAGCTTTTCCTAATAACGTTCATGAAGATTTTATACTGTGTGCTTTAGGTGTTGAGTGGCATTTTGCTATCAGTTGTACATGGCATTGCTTATTTGAACCTTGCACACAACCTTCTTAAATTCTCAGAAAATATAAAACTACAACGCTTTTATCTTACCTTGAATAAATATTGTGATAATTTCGTTAACGAAAATATTTTCATTTACATCACCTTGAGGAACATTTGCACTTTAATATATGTCAAATTGGAACTATTCAACCACATAATTCTAAAAAACGGCGCCTTGTATATTGATACCTCTGCCAAAACCAATATAGAACTATTATAGGCGATTTTTTTAACCTTATTGAAGACAACTACGGATATTTGCAAATTATAGTTTTGAAATGTTTCGAAAACGCTCTATAAAACAATAATAACAGACCGTTATTATAAGCCCATTTTAGATCAACAGTTGCATTAATCGTCTTGCGTCTGTTTAATTGAAATAGAAGAAAAAATAAGCCAAATTTCTTGTAAAACGAAACTGTCGTACATATCAGCTACAGATAACCATTTCTACCAGTCCCTAATGCCCCAAGCAACGACTTACAAATACTGAAAAAATGTAAACATCTGCATATAATAAAAAAACCGATCATCTGACCATCATAATAATTTGTTGTCAGCATCTGCGGCGATTGTAAAAAACCGTAATAAATTCAAAAAGATCATCCTTCGCAACATAATTGTGACACACCTGGAATATCCAAAATACAGTATTGTCATAAATTTGTTTCTAGCGTTGTTCCATCTTGCAAGTCTCCAAAGACCTGGGTAGATAAATTGTAGGCACAGATGGCAATAGAATGCTAAACTGACCTCTTATTAAGGATAGTCCTGCAACAATGTCTTAGATTATGGGCAAATCTAGGGTCAAGGGCTAGCAGGAATTTCTAGAGGCAGACTACCTCCTAGCTTCTCTACATATCAGAAAAAACATGGCCCTAGGTTGACTTAACGTGAAATCCAAGATAGCGTAATTGGTTATATGAATATGAAAAATATTACGCATAACCTTTCAGGATGAGGTAAAAGATCTCAGTATAGTAGTGAACTCTTCAATACGCATTTTGAATTTATAATTTGTTGAGCACATATACAGGTACTTGGTTTTAACCCGGCTTGCTAATTCAGTTGCGATCTGTATTGTAATTATCGCTTTGAACCGAAATGCAAAAGCGCTGCAAAACCTTTAACAACAATTATGCATTAAAATGTAAAAAATAATGTAAAAAGATGTAGTTTCACACTGCGTTTAAATGAGCACTTTGAAGGGAAAGAAAAATCTCAGGTTTCAATAGATGAATAATAATAATAATAATAATAATAAATGGCCTTTATTTTACCTGGCGGGTTACATCAGCACAAGCTGTTTTTCAGAACCAACCAGGGCTAAAAAAAAAAATTCAAGTACATGCAAATACAACAAAAATACATTGAAGATAACATTTAAAGCAGAAAAAAATTTTTGTTTTACAGAATCGTAGCATGGTATAATGACCAAAAGACCAAAAGCGAAACGTGCAGCAACAGAGTACGTAGCAGAATCAAAAACCGTGATTAGAAGTAACTTTAAAAAAAGAAAATATTTGGTATATGGCGGAAGATATAAAAATTAAAAGTGAACAGTAACAAATTTGTAAGCAAAACACAAACAAATGAAAAGTGATGAGTGAGAAAACATGCACAAATAAACAAATATAAAAATAAAATTACATCAAAATACATGCTAGATGAAATCAAAAAAAAAAAAAAAATACATGCTACATGTCATCAAAGACAAAGAGCCTAACTTTTCTTTTAAAGCTGGACACAGATAAAGTTTTCAAAGCTTGAGGTACTTTATTGTAGAAATCGGGCGCCACATATGAAAAGCTCTTTCTGAATTGGGTTGTTCGGTACCGAGGCAAGTCAAGAGTATATCCTACAAAACGCAGGTTCGCTGAGTGATGATCACATCTCATGGTAAGCTTGTTCTTCAAATAAAGAGGCATTTTATTTATCATAATACTGTGGACCAATGATAATAGATGCAGTATCCACCTTTGTCGCATAGTAAGCCATTGAATATTTTTAATATGATCAGATACCCTCTCCCGCCTTTGAATACCTAAACTGAATCTTATGCAGCTGTTTTGCACTTTTTGAAGTCTGTATGCCTCGCTCTGTATTAGACATGGACCATAGACAAGGTCCCCGTATTCAAGTTTACTTAGGATAAGGGAGTCACACAGCTTAATCTTGGTCTGCTTGGACAATACATTTTTATAGCTATACATTGACTTCAACTTAGCATAGGAACCCTGAACAGCTTTGGTGACATGATCATGGAAGCACAGGTTCTCATCAAATGTGATGCCCAAGTTGCGAACCGATGTCTTGTGGCAAACTTCATCACCTCCAATACACAGCTTTATTAATTCACTATTGAATTTGCTGAATTTAGATTTAATAGTTATGATAGCCGACTTTCTAGGGTTAATACATAAGCCATGTTTGTTATACCACACACATATACTATTTAAATCCTCAGACAGCATCTCATTCGCTTCAATGTACATAGCAGGGTTGTAAGATAGATAAATCTGTGTATCATCGGCGTATGTATGTAATTTGCAGTATTTAGTGACTTTATCTAAGTCCGCTACATAAAGAGAAAACAGAAGAGGTCCAAGAATAGACCCCTGTGGTATACCTTTGGAGATAGTACCCTCCTGTGATAAGATGTCACCGATTTTTACCTGCTGAATGCGTTCATGAAAATAACTGCGAAACCAATTAATCGAACTATCGGAGAAGCCAAGATAATGAAATTTTGCAAAAAGTAGTTCATGGTTGAGGCAATCAAAGGCCTTACTTAGATCTATCATGACAGCAGTAGTAACTTTAGAATTGTCTATTGCCCCTATGAAGTCGTCACAGACATCGAGCAGAGTTGTTACGGTGCTGTGGTTTTTTCGAAACCCCGACTGCGTAGATGGAATTATCTTAAAGGTAGTGACGTGCTGCATCAGTTGCTCATATACAATTTTTTCTAATAGTTTTGATAACACTGGAAGGATACTAATTGGTCTATAATCATCAGGTCCTTCCGGAGCATCAATTTTAGCAAGAGGCCTAACGCATGCGGCTTTCCAAATTTTAGGAACTAACCCTTTTTCAAGCGAATAGTTAATTATATGAGTAATCGCTTTAGAACAAAAAGGAAACACTAGAGCTAACATATTTATATTCAAACCATCTAGTCCAACCGCCCGAGATTTTATTTTATTGAAAATCTGTAATATTTTATCCTCCGTGACCGGCTTTAACTGAAACAGGTTGTCTATAGATGGCAAAACATTGCTATTGTAATGATGAATAATACTGGTATCCACACAATTATCTGGAATGGAATTTAGGAAATATTTGTTCACTAAATCAGGTTGCAATGTGCATTCTAAAGTATCTTTAACAGGATTATGTACACCTAGTTGTTTGATGGTTCGCCACCAATCACGAGAACTTCTACCTTCTTTAAGCTGCAGTTCTATATAGGCTTTTTTTTCTCTTCTTATGGAAGCTGTTACAAAATTTCTGAGTTGTTTATAATAAACCCATTTGACATTGATCAAATCTGCAGAAAGAGCATCCCTTACCCCTTTTTTATATTTCATATATGCATTGTTTCTCAATCTCATCATGAACTTAATGTTTTGGGTGATCCAAGGATAGCGTGGCTTTGTTACTTTTACTGTTTTGATGGGCGCGCATATGTCTAGCAAAATATTGATCAAATCATACAAGTAGCTTAGCTTGGATTCAAGATCTTCGAAGTTGATAACTCCTAACCAGTACATTGATGAAGCTACCTCAGCAAGTAAGTTGGTATCTAAATTCCTTAAATCGCGGATACGTATATATGTTTGTCTGTAGACGCTGGCTGGATAATCTGTACAAAAGTATACCAAATAATGATCCGTGAAAGGTAGATTTACAGCTCCGGTTTTTGTGATGTTTAAGTTTTTATCTACGAATACCACATCTATCAGACTTCTGCTGTTATCTGTTACTCTTGTTTCCTGACTTACTATTTGATTCAAATTGAAATCCTCGAAAATTGTTGACATGAATGAATAGTCCAGGCCTTGTTTATTCAAAACATTTATATTTAGATCACCCATGCATACTATATGATCAGATGATGTGAAAACAGTAAGTAGTGAGTCTTCCAGGCCTGTCAAAGCTGTATAATCAACATTGGGAGGTTTGTACACAACACCCACAGCAAATGCTTTTTTGTTTATTTTAACCCTAACCCAAAGTTGTTCAAGGCCCTCTTGTGTTGCAAAGTTAAAATCAGATACTTGGAAGCAATGCAGTCCTTTTCTCACATAGAGAGCGACTCCACCGCCTCTCCTATCTTTCCTGTCACATCTAAACAACTGAAATCCTGGAACATGGATATCATTATCAGTGATGTGTGGTTTGAGCCACGTTTCGGTGAATCCGATGATATCAAAATTTTGCGACAACACATAATCTTTAACATCACAAAAACAGCTAGTAAGTGATCTAATATTTACACATCCTATGATCAAATTATGCTCTCCGCCTTCGATGACATCAAATTCTGATAATACAGTCATTTCAAAATACAGCAAAAAAAAACACAAAAAACAGATTAAAAAAAGATAAAAGGATAAAAAATGGAAAGTTTTTTAAAAAGTCTGAGATAAAGTTGAAGTTGAAATGGGATAAACTTCCAGTAAAAATTAAAACAGAGATTAGATAAAATGCCCTTATCTATTCGAAGTAATTTGTCTTACTTCGTATAAGACCCTCATGTTTTTGCAAACACAGACAATTACTATCCCACACAACATGGTTCGTATCTAGCGTTTTATCTTGTTTTTCATTAATAGACAGACAGTTTGCACAGCATGACGATTTGCTTTTACACTGCTTCCGTTCGTGACTGCCAGCACAAATAGGACATACAAACGCATTTTTACAATTTTTTTGTATATGGCCATACTGACAACACTTGAAACAGCGTGTCACTGACAAATGCTCATAAATACGACATCTATCCCATCCAATATTCAACTTCCCTTCCCCTATCACTGACTGATATGACTTAGGATCTAGCTCCATAACAAGATCAAATTTTGCACCTTTAATTGGAAACTTATATACTATATTAAGAACAGCGTCATCATGGCTGACGAGCCTGCTATTTTGATTCACAATTTTGCTTTTAAGAACTTGAGAATCAACATCATACTGATCTTTGTTAACACCTATCACTCTAATTCGAGGATTTCGATTTTTTGGCAGTTGAACAGAGCAATTGCCTGACAAATTAGTTTCAATCGATTTCTTAATTATTTCTAACGACCGTTGGTTATCGCACTTCAGAACAATGTCACCGTTATTATTAGCTTTATTGATTTGCACACCGACTTGAAGACTTTCAGGATTTACCTTACTCAGCAGTTTCTGCTTCAAGGATGCTACATCGATGTTACTGTTAGGCTTCACCAGCAATACATAACCTCTACTCGTGTTTCCCTTTACAGCATTGCTGTAAGAAACCTTGGGCTCACCAACGACCATGTTTGTTTCTCTATTCTTCTCATTCTCCTCCAGTTTTTTACATAAATCAGCAACAGTTGTAGTGAGCTCTTCTATTTTTGAGTTTTGACCATTAATTATTTTATAGCAAGCATCCAGTTTCTTTTTGACGTCAGATAATATCTGAGCCAAACCAGCACATTCACATGAACTGCTAACCGAACGTGAAGTTGTCCGTTTTGTTTCTCCACCGGAATAGCTCATGGTAACCGGAATCTTGTTACAACGTGACAACGGCGCTCACTGTTCACGCCGCATTCCAGAACCCGACCGTACTGTATACACTTTTGAGAATGCAAATATAGGCAATCTTTATATCCAAACTGATCACCACACGTCCAGATGTTCACAGATGCACTTTTCGAAAAATTTATTAACTTAGAAATAGCGAAAATCCGAATAATCCTAACAGGCTATACCGCATAGCTCCATACCACGTTGCCAATGAAGGCATCTGTGAGTCCAAGTAGCCGTGCGGAGATCTACAGATTTCAAAGAAAGATGATAGGAAATATAGACAATGATCCGCGCTATAGTCGTAGAAGTTACCCTCATAGGAACCTAGTTGTCAGCTTGGACATAGACGGAATGGAAGGTCTGTAACTAGCATCAGACGTTAACCTGGGAGCGCTTGAACTTCTAAACAACTGGCGCATCAAATAGTGACTTGAGAGAATTGAACTGTCAGTGAAAAGCATAGTGCATTTGTAAACAGTGGACAATGACCTTGTCTTTGGTAACAACAGGTCTTATTAATTGTCTAAGTGACTCAGACGTGTTTCAAAACTCTTAATTTAATTATCACTCTCTTCAATGACATCAAAAATCAAATCCTTAGTTTACAGTGGTGGTATACACACCTGTTTTACTTTAATAGATGTGAAGCTTGACCTTGCGACCACTTAAATGAAAATCCTTGACTTTCCCTCTGATCATCCCACCTCGCGGCCACCTCGACGGTCCGATTTGCGTCCCATGGACTAATTTGCATCAAATCTTGGATTGCAGATCGCAGCAGTGGCGATTATGATCTCTCAGTGACTGTTCTGCAACGTGCTCCGACAGAAAAACGGAAACTTGTAATCGCAACGCATCGACGCATATCATAATAAACACATTATTCAAATGCAGCTTTCATTCTGAGAAGAATGGCTGGTCTTCCACTTAACTCAAAAATCGCACTAAACTAAGGTATCTAATATAATTATAAAAGAGTGACAAGAATGAAATACAAGCATTATCAAAATATATATACATTTCAAAACAATGTTTCAAATATTATAAATAAAAGAAATAAGGAAGGAATTAAAATTCAAAAAAGGCATGAAGAGTACTAAAGAGTAAACGAGAAAATAATACATATGTGATCATGTAATTTCAGGTCCATACGTATTAAAGCATACAAAGCAGCTACAAACAATTCTAGTTTCTAGACTTCAGTCATTGTAGTAGCGAGATCTTAGAAATGAGGCGTAACATTTTGCAAAAGTATATAGTGATATGGAGTATGATTATTTATTATTAAATGTGACAAAAACGAAATGTATGATCATAGGTTCGAACAATAATTGCAAGAAATAGGTAGATTTAAATACGCCAGTGAAAATTGAGAGAGAGGTACTTGATTTTGTAGATAGTTTTAAGTATTTAGATATTATAATAATTTTTGACCCGATGTAGAAATTCTGTGCAGGAGTTCTTTCATTATATAAGCTTGAAGGAGTTTTTATGGCTACAACCTTATGATGCAATGCTATGCAATTCCCGTCTATTCATATGTAACCAGTTTGTTTCTACTAACTTATGTGAAATGCTTTCTCTGCGTCGAATTCCTAAATGAGCCGAAAGCAGGAGTTCCTTACATTTTCTATTCTTTTTACATCATTTTCATCTATACACTTATTATACAGAACGACATAGAAATTAAAATGTAATACCACAAGAACATAGATACATACACATAGATACCTTTTTGGTTGCCGAAGAAGAATATTGCGCTATTTATCATGACGATATTACAACGCTCACGCTTTTGGTGGAAAATGCTTCAGAATTTTAAATCATAAGTTAATCAACGATCAGGTTGTCAGTGGTTATATCATTTTTTTGGTTTACATTAATTGAATGTATTGTCTAGTTATTCCGGGACACCCTTTAGGTTACAATTAGTATAGTAATACTATGTCTATTAGTAGTATTACTCAAGACTCATTCAACCATCAGAAGCAAACTTGTTTTCCCGGTCCGCGGAATGCACTGGCAATACATGTTTGAGGTCACGTAGGCCTTAATTATGTTTTCGTTCATTTTTGTTTCTTCTGAAAAACATGATACATTTCTACAAAACATTGCGCATCTATTAAGCCATCCAGAGGTCCATAATGTTCATTATGTGGGTATTTTTTATGTGAATGATCATATTTTAACTGGTTAGAATTTAGAATGTTATGCAAGCTATTCGGTGACATTTTATAATGATGCTTTCACCCGAAGAGTTTACGAGTATTCCTAGATACCGCTTTTTGATTTATACATCAGATGGTTGCGTAACATCTTAACAATCAATTACAGAATTGTTAAACTCGAGAGGGCAATGACGACACCTTTACAAATCACCAGCCCGGATAAAAAAATAGAATACAATCAAATAACGGAGCTGGGGATTAAAAAAAGTTTTATAAAAGTAGATATGTAGACGATTGACGATTTCGATTTATTGCCTATGCAACTGTCTTTTATAAGCAGCAAGGTGATAAACTGGGATTATGACAAAACAGAATTTCATCTTAATAGTAGACTTTGAAATTTTTATATGCAGAGTTAGTTGTTAGTTGAAAAAGAATAAATTCCATATAAGGCAAAGTTGTGGCTATTATCGCTATTAAATAATAATATAGATGATCAAAGAACACATATAACAGTGATCGCAAAAACTTGTATCTATCTACAACTAATGTGAAATTTTGATAGAAAAACAAAGTGCATGCAGAAACAGGATCAGAAGAAGTACAGATTTTTTCCGTTGAAATGCCTTATTGCTAAAACTTCGTAATGTTCATTATACATTGAAGCTAAAAATTCAGGCATTCTATCAATGAAATAGTGAAGACTTTTTTGTTGCAGGTAACTTGCTTCCTGCATTGCGTAAGTTTGTAGACTAGTATAAATGACATGAATCATATTTGAAATCTTAGATGTAGATCTGTTATTCTTTTATTAAAATCGGCAACTAAATGATTTTCTAGATTGCGTACGATATAAAAAATAATTCCCCTGTTTCCACTTGTACTTCTTTGATAATTGTAAGGCAGCTCCTTCTAGAATTCCCTGATTACATTCATCATTTACTTCATTCCGAGTTCGTTGGCTTCTTGTCGAATAACATTCTTATTTTTTTTCTGTCACATCCTTTATTGCGTGCCTTATTTAAATAATTTTGAATCAGACTGATTTGATGATTTTTTGACATTTTCCCATTTTTGTGATTGCAGTAGTGCTAACTGTTAACTGGCAATTTTTTCAACTGCTTGAAAATCTTAGAGCATAATCATGAACATGTTATAAAGTACCGCATTTTCTTATTAATACTAGCCTAAACCCGCGGCTCTGCCCGCGTTGAAGTAGAGTGAAATATAGATCATTCGTTTTGCATTAGTCTGAAGCAGCTTTGGAGAAAGAAATGCAATATTCAAAGTACCGCAATAGTTTCTTGGGGAATTGACATTCTATATTCAACATTTCAATACAACAGTAGATTGATATCAAATGTGTAATCAGAATCTCAATAAATAATACGTGCAGTATCTCACAGCTTCTGCAGCATATCAGGACATATCCTAACTCAATAAATATTTATTTACAGAAAGTCAAAGTGAAACTAAGAACGAAATTTAAATCAAGAAGATCACATTAGAAAAACGAATGTCGAAGTCGTTGGGGCTGAAGCCCATCAAACAGATTTTGCAAAGCTATTTTCTGTAGCATATGCACTATTGCAGACTATAATCTATCTCGGTACCAAATTTTATCCAGATCCGTTCGTCCGTTTTGGCGTGATTGAGTAACAGAGATCCACATTTTCTGATTTATAGTGTTAGCAGGGATTCATGTCAAGTCATATTCTTCTTGCAGTTTGAATTTTACTAATGGTATTCTATGGACAATGATATTTTGATTGTTTCTCAATACCACAGTAATATGACGTAACTAAGTTGATACTGATGTCTGGAAAGTATTGTACCTCAAGGAAACAGAGATAAAGAGATGAGGTGATATGCCATTTCAGCTTTACTATTATATTAAGGATTATATATCTAGCTGTAAACAAAACTTCATTTTCCCATCCACGCATTGCTGTATCTTGGGTCTGTATTTTTAAGAGCAATATTTTGATTAACTTACCTTAACATTTTCAAGAAACTTGTTTCATCGAGAGATGTTGATGTTCCTGTTCTAAGAAAAACACTTCACAATAACTCTCAATGCAAATATTTTGCGGACTAAGCGCATACTTAATAGCGTATTTTTATCCACGCTGTGCATCAATAACCTAATTTTGATCTAAGACGTCATCTCTATCAAACAACATACTCTTATTTCTTCAGACTGTAAAATTTACCTGATCCAAAACTTGGAAGACTTGTATTGTACTCGCTTCAAAATGTATATTTATACATCTGACAATGTAATCTATTCTACATTGATTGATTATTCCAGAGTGGGATTCAAGCTCGGATTCACGTCTTTCAGGTGTTGGTCCGTATTTGGATGTAACATTGTACTGCACTTAGATCATTCCTAATAATAGGTATAATAAGATTATTGATTTGTGAGTCAAATTGTGGTCAGGTATCTCTCATTAATCGTGTCAAATCATATTAGTGAGAAGTGAAATGACTTCAGTCTTTCATATTCAACATAAATTTACATATCTGGTAGATAATTACTTGAATAATTAAAAAAAGGTGTCAAGTAGATTGACTCAGTAGATTTACTTGCAAATTGATGCTACTTTTTTGATGTTGTTTCAGCTTTGCCAAAAACGATGTGCCTGAGATAGCGCCAGCAAAAGGAAACGAGTTTTTAAATTCTAGATACTTTGAAATTGTATGCTATTTGTGTCTACTAAGATAAGTGATTGGAAACCTTGGAAATAGTAGAAAACAAAGTTTGACTCTACCCTAACGTGATCCGGAACCTGAGAAATGGCGTAAATCGAAGTTCGCAGATTATCAAAAATTTGAACGCGTTAAACACAAGTTTTGAACGATGCTGTAAGATCATCAGAAAGTTGAAAATATACTATTTTGAAAGATGAGCCAAGACATATCTTTTTTAGTTCATAACCCCGGCGCTATTTCATCAATTTTTGCCTATTATGAATCTACTCCATAGCGCATCTCAAATTCCATCAACATCAGAGCAGTTACGGAAGTGAGTAATCACTTACCTGAGAAATCTATTCAATTTTGTTCCGGGTATCGGATTTTTGTTTCCGATTTATTCACTATTTATTAAACTTGCATTTCTTGAGGAGGAATGTACTGGATACAGCGAGAATACTGGGTACTCGACAAGTAGTCGCTGGAGTTATTTGCGCCAGATTGTATCAGCTACTGAACATGCTGCATCCATTTGTCCTACCAAGAACAGTCAACCATGGACAGATGTTTCGTACTTTTTGGCTACTCATCAGCTTGACCAATCGTCTCTGGATAACGAACGGAAGCATATCATGTATCTAGGAGGTACGGTCTATCGCAATAGGACAGTGCAACGCTCCAGGATCGACAACTACCGGCTGGAACCGTGAAGATCTCAGTCCGCGATGGTAGCACAATCATTAGATTGATGATTCTAGCTGGCTTGCAGATATGGTCTAATTAGCACTGAATACTATACATACTGATTTAGTCCATCTGACAAAGGACATCCAACCATTATTTTAACTACTGTTAGGGAAAGCACCACAAAAAACAGTTATGTAGCTTAGACAATTTTTTGTGAGTGGAGCGCCATAGATAACAGTATGTATTTGCATTATTTTCAGAACTATCATTTTGTTTTTTAATACATGAGAGTTTTGTACATGCTAGGTATATGTTTTTCACTGTGGAAAACAGCAGCTACAATATTGAACTGAAACTATACTTTGGCATTGCCACACATTTTTAATACACCTTTCAGTTTGTTCTCTACAGGAGAAACACATTTGTAAGGTCTGTAAGGTATATGTGCGACATCTTAAACCCAGGAGGGCGCTGTCATGTCATGGCCATCACGAACACAAAATTCAAATGCTATTGGTTTCTAGGCTTCTTTTGGGAAGACGTTACAATATAAATACAAGTAAAAGCTGCTTGATGTCATGGCATGACCGATTGAGCACGGGAAAGGACTAATCCTAAGTTATTCTCACGTAGGAGTAAGGTCTTTCTCAGAAATTTGGGAAACTCCTTATTCTTTTTACTTTTCGACCTTCGCTGCATTTAATTTAAATTTTTTATTTCTTTTTATTTGAAGGTTCATAAAACATAAACTGGAGCAAATAAAAATGCAATGGAATGCATGGAATTGCCGTATCTTTCTACAAAAAAAAAGACAGTAGTAACACCTTGTCTATAAAAAATCAGTTACGGAAATAGTTAGCATACTGGAGGAGACGACATTTAGGCCAGGCAACTGATTTCGACAAAAATAGACTGCGTTTCATGATGGTGAGTTGATTTCTTGAAGAACATATCAAAAAGGTTTGCAAAGAGGCATTTCAGCTCAGACCTTGCACATCGCATCTGTAATTCTTTAATTTACATAAGTTGCCTGTCTTGCGTCCGGACTGAGTAATTACACGGACGAGTAATTTAATACTCTGCGAAACCGGGTACTGTGTTAAAATGGCTACAATCTCGGTAATTGGTATATTTCTGCTATCCATCAAGACCAGTTCGATGTGTCAGTAGCACAATTAAGTGCGGTAGCTGCCAAAATGAAGCAGATATTTTCAGCAGAAATAATCTAATTTTCCTGGGAAGTGCCGAGAGTATCGGTCATGCTAAAATATGGAAGACAACAGAAAATGTATATATGTTTATTTCGGAACTGAAGGACCATGGATTCTATGTTTTGACGACTTCCTGCCACGCTTTTCTGCTTTTGTTCTTCTTCTCCCAGTTTGGTATGCCTAGTCTTCGCACGTCCTCTTCTTCGGTCTTCTTCTTTTTCTACTAATGCCTCCCGCGTGGCCGTGTCCTAGCCAGCGCACCCTTTAACCTCGGGTTTTTCTGTATAATACAAGGTTGGTTATATATCTCAATCATTTCCTTGTTTGTTCGTCTACTCCATGTACCATCGTTGCATGTCGTGCCCCCATATCTTGCGTATCACTTTTCTTTCCATGCGTTCTAATTTTTGTACGTTCTTCAGACTTAACACCCAAGCTTCACTGATGTGCAGATGCTTGGATAACGGACTTATATTTTCTCTCGTTTGTTTTCCTTGATATCCATCGCGAGTTTTATCATCTATTTTGAAGTTCTCATTGCTTTACTCCCTTTTGCTCTCTTTTTTTAATTTCTAAACCTTCTGTTTTATTTGTTATCATTACCCCTAGATATTCGCACTGGTTCGCGTTCTCAAAGCGATATAACTACTTTTATTGTTTTTCCAAAACGTTCTTTAACTATCTAAAAGTCTTTTCAAGCTCTGCTTGGATCACGGTATTATTGCTATATCATCGGCATAAGCAATCAACTTATGTTTTCTGTAGTAAACAGCGCCGTCAGTTTCCATACAACACTCACGTTAAAAAGCTTCCAGCGTGAAGTTAAACAACCTTGTAGATGACTGGTCCCGTTGTCTCAGGCCTCCCCTTACGCCAAAAGCTCTAGCTATTTTCCCTTCCAATCTGATCTTGTTCATTGTCCCGATCATGGTCAATTCGACCAAGTTTATTAGTTTGCCTGGTATTCCTAGCAGTACCATAACCTCTTATACACCAATTTTTCTCTGTCTATTGAATCATACGCTTGCTTGAAATTATTAAATAATGGGTGTGAATCAAGATTTTGTTCATAGCTATTGTAGAACAGCTGTTTCATCGTGAATATTTGGTCTATTATGGACCTAAAACCTCCCTGATATTCACCTATGGTATCATCTTCATATGTGCCCCATCTGCCCCTTAGTTGAAGTTTTGGTATCTTGTATGCAGTGTCTAATAGACCAATGCCTCTATAGTTCTCACATGTTATCACATCTTTTGTGTATTGGGCAGATTCCGGCGTTTTCCCTATCATCTGGTGGTTCCTCATGATTATATGTGTATTTGAACAGACTTCCAAGTCGCTTCTGTAAATCTTGTGTATTATATATGCTGTGATTCCATTTTCCCCTAGGGTCTTATTGTTTTTTAACGTTCCTATTGTTTCTTCTATTTTCAGATCTGTTGGTTCGTGTATTTGTCCTCCCTGGTTACCATTTTCGAATAGTAGTGCTTCTTCCGAGTTTATTTTCTTTTTGTTTACACTGCCTCGTAAGCTTAAGAATTCTTCAAAATATTGGGCCCACCACTTTAATTTTCCTGATGCGTCACCAATTAATGATCCTTCTTTGCTTTTATGAAGACAATAAGTCTACATCCTGGTGGAATTCTTAATGTGTTTATTAATCAACAACAGAAGATGTTTGGGATCAAGACTCCAGCTCTGATGGAGACACTTGAGCTTATCGTATGTTATGAATGTACAGTCCTAAATCGTCATGCAGAATGTGATGTGTGTGATCCCAAACCTCCCGTTCGCGTTGTCGGATTCCGTCAATTGCTTGGCGTAAAATTAACGGAAGGTTGATTCTACCATCTTGCTTGTGGAAAACACTGTGCCTCTGTATGCTCGTCGGATACCATAAATATCCTATGTTTATAATGCCAAACCAAGTGATCGGACAACACTTCTGGTGAATCTACGAATAACCTGTTTATACACAGGTAAAACAGAAACAATCAAATCTCGATAAACAACTAAGTAAACGTTTTTCCCGAAAGAACGTAAACGAACATCATGTTTTCTTTCGGAATGACGCATGTGAATTAGCCAGCAAAAAATAAGTGCTGTATACCTACTGGCGATAAGCGCCATTGGATGTCGATAGAGCATTTTCAGAACGGAACAGTTTCCAGTATAATGGTTATCTTCGATGAGTGCGCGTCGATAGGTCGCGTTTCGAATCGCTGTTATGAGAATATGTGCCTCAAAAGGGACTGTAAGAAGGGTATTGCTCCAAGGCGTTGTAACGATCTTGCTGTAAGTATGTTTTTTGAAACTTTGCTTGTCAGGTTCTGCTGTATAAAGCCGCCAGGTTTCTGATTCTAATTCAAACTTCGTTGAACTCCGTATGTCGAGACTGGCCAGTACGACCGCTCGTTAGTATCGATATTTTGGTACGATCTGCCTGAGTATGCTTCTTTTAGTACCCACTTAGGCCGATCAACAATTTGATCAATCAAATATCCAGCTTAGGTTCTTACCTTATCTACCTCAGTATAAAAAACATCATCCTTCTGAGTAGTTTTTTTATAATCTTAACCGTCTACGCTAAAAGCGCGAATTTGTTTCAAAAGTTTTTTGAACATACGAAGCATTTTTGTCATTACTGTGACATGATAATCCATGTGACATATTTATTGATTTGTCCATCAATCTGTCCGATTTTCACGTTTAACGCAAATGTAATTTTGTAAAGTGTATTGAGACGCAATTTTGGTATTTCAGGTAATAGATTTTTCTAACTGTTTTATTATCTACGTCATCCCTGTTAGCTATCAGTGTAGGCTTGATAATGTTCTTCTATCTTGTTTTTTTTTTCAGAACGCTCCAAATGATATTTTATCATCACTTAAAAATTATTGGGTATAATCCAAAACTAGTTGAAAGAGTCACCATTTTAGGAGAGTTCCTGGTTTCATGTTTACGATTTTCAAGCTTCTGATTACTCTGTGGTGTAAGATAAAATGGAGGCTCGAAATTTTTGAAATTTGGTAGCCTCATTTTTTCATAACAATGCTTACTTACACGATATTTTTATATTACGTATTCGCAAAAGCTGATTTTCTTATTTTCTTGCGGATTAAGTATCAGGAAACGCCTTTAAGAGGTTAAAAGGACACTCGATAAGTGCGTGGAAAGTACTGATTCAATCTATTTATCGCCGCATAAATAATTACAATGTTTTGTCCCGTTTTCTTGTAAAAACAATTATTTTCTATGCAGACGTGCCTTCCCCATTTAAGGTATCATCTATAGCTTTGTATGCCACCCTCAAGAATATAGATGTTACATATATTTCTATGCGTACTGCGTCAGGAAAATCTAATGTAATTTAACATGGTACCATTGTATTAAATTGATCAGCGCCTACTCAGTTGACTTTCAACTACCTAATCACAAGTCATATTCCCTGGTTCATTTACTTTATCAACATAGCTATATTGACAGAAGAATTGACAGAGCGATTATATAACGCAACCATTACCAGGAATCCATCGGTGACAGACGGCCACATGTAGATAATTATGAAATATATTATATATGTGTTTTTACTAACAGATATTGCCGGATTTTTTCAAAAGACTAGCAGTTTCGGAGGCTAAAGCGATTTTTGTTTTAAAAATACAACACTATCAAGCTACTATATAGCTTATGCATAACACGTTTACTTATTCTGCAGGCCTGTAACCTAATTCTTTCAAAACCTATGTATTTGGTTTGCTTTTCTCCTTTTATCAAACGAGATCATCGACATATTTAGATACCACTCGGTGTGAGTAACACATCTCACTTTTATGAGTAACATTAAAGAAGAAACAGAAATGGGTCGCACATTAAAACTTTTACAACTTCCATGTATTCCAATATGACCATTCTTGGATCCAACATAGCGATTGATCATATCGTAAGTTATAGACAGCAGCGCTGACATAACCATAAAATACGTAAAACTGATATGGAATGGGTATTTTTATACCATGTGAACGTCAGCATTTTGTGAGTAAAAGCTGAAATGGTAGTTTTATTCTCATTTTATCTAGTAACCTTCATTGTCTATGTATGTTCCACCTTTTCTGTTCAGCATGTGGGTATAAAATGGTTTTATTGATTGTATCATTCTAGTCGCCGTGACCCATATTGTCCACGATTCGTTAGATTTTACGATGATCCGGATGAGAGCTTATCGAGTTTCTTTGTAGGACATCGCCAGGTCGATCCAGACGGGGATAAAGACCTCTGTCGTACAGGGGTTAATATAGGAGACGATAAGCTCTTCATTCACTGTTCAAATTATGATTCGATTATTTACCGGAAGACTTCATAAAGAACATATAGGAATGGTCAATAAAAACTTAAAACTAGGGACAAATTAACAGTACAAGAAGACAGTTGACAATGAAACAGGTGTTTCTCAATTAGTGCACTAAAAACGCCAGCAAGAGAAAAACTCTTTAATACCATAAAAACACTGATCAATCAGAAACGTTCTCAAATTTTGCATGAATTATTTCGTTTGTTTGTGACTGCGCCTTATGTGAAGGATTATTGAAAATATTTATATTTAATTAATTTGGTAAGATTTGACTGCATTTAGGGTTACAAATAAGTAAATATAATTGACTTTTTATCCTGGTATTGTGCGTGTATCACTGTGTACAAAAAAGGATGCCAAGTCGAAAATACATAGGTAACTATTTCTAGTATAAACAAAGCAGTCAATGTCAGTATTAACCAAAATTTTTAAGCAGAGCTGTATTTGAGTGGTACACTTTTTGCAGCCTTTTGAGATACAAACTCATTTGCGTGGAATGAGCTACCCCGCAAGCAAATGCCATAACGAAGGCAAGACTCAGTGAACCCCTAATATAACCCTGTGCTGGTTGTAGACACCAAAATCTGTATACTGTCAAAAAATTGGTGTAATTTTAACTTGTGGGAAAACGTTCAATGAAAATACAGGCAAACAACAAACAAAGGTCAGTAAAGCGATCTTTTAACCGCTGAAAAATAGAGTTTGGTTTCTGAAGAGCAATTTACTGAATGAGAGGAACTCTGCATATTTATCTTTGAAGCATTCCAACTTTCAAAATAACAAACATGCAAACGTTGCCCTGCTTACAACAATCAATTAAGCCTTTATGAAATCTCTCGTCTCAACAGTCCATTCTACGAACCCTTTCCGCAAGAAAAATGCAGCTTTATACACATTAACTCATAAAGAATATGGTAATTTCCCTAGCTGTTACAAAACCATTCTACATACCATCGTTTGATGTTCTCCCACATTTTTTTCATTTATTTACTGATTTTTTGGGTGTACTGTTTTTGTTGAGGTCTTTGAAATTTGCTTTGTTCTTCAAGGTGAATGAGCAGCTAACAGTTTTCTTTTCAACGATCACTTTGAAGTCCTGTATCTCGATCAGATGCATTTTCTCTGCCTCGCTAAATTTCTTTTTAGTTTAGGTCTTACATATTGTAAAATGATTGCGGAAGATTTGATTTTTTTTCAAAAATACTGTACCAAAGCTTCACACTGAACAGACAATATACAACCTACAGCCCGATTCTATGTAGTACTGGTTGCCTATACGCACAGTTTACTGGTTCCGCTATAAATTTAAAAAAGCAATTACATTGCTTTTTACATTTTTAAGCAATAGTTAGCAGAAAAATAAACTATTCCCTTCCAAATTTATCATTAAAATGGTAGATAGATATGGCGAACAAATACCAATCTTTTCCACATTATGACAGCCTGTGATGTCATCTACAGAGAGGAGTTATAGCTACTTTGTTTCCAAGGGCAGAAAAACCCTCAAACGGCACTCAGCCCTCAAGGGACGTCTATAAAGCGGATTTCAAGTTTGATCCTCCGTTATGTAATGCAACTCTATTCTTTACACATGCGAACGGACATTGCACCATCTGTACCTTATTGCCATTTATTATGCTCGATTCGTTCTTGACTGCAGCGCCGATCAGTTCGTATCTTCTTTGGACGTGCGTCAAATTGTCAATTTGAGTGTTGTTGTGTATGAACAAATGAAAATCGATCGGTAGGAATGCAAAAACAATGAGTTGCTACACACTCTTCCATAATAAAGTACGAATTTGCAACCGGAACGCGTCTAAGCAAAACACAATGTGGTCGGGCGTGCATTAACGAAAGAAAAGAGTCATGTTGATTTTTGCATTACAAATTAGAGTTTAATTTTTATGGGTTAATGATATCGAGACGTAGGAACGTTTTCTCTAACATCTATCTTCAGCAGGAACTGTAACAATAGCTGATAGCTGCCAAGTACATACAGACTTTTAATATTGAATTGAGTATTCACGCAGTATTGAAGTGGGTTCATTCGAATTTATGCAAATGTGTGATATAGTTCAGTGAAGTTAACATTGGTTAATCAGATGGATTTGTATCTTTGAGAAATCGAGTGTGTCGATTTGATGTTTTCCCATATTATTCAAATTTGAGCAAAGAAGCATTCAGAGTAACGTCTCAAAAACAAAAAAGTTGTTGCATAATCAAAACGTAATCGTCTACTTAGTTTTCAATATATACTAAGTGACATATAAATCCGAACACCCAGTTTAAATGGTTTTATTTTAATAAAAGTTGGTGAATGTATTTATCTTACTGTAAATAACAAGTGAAAAAATTTTCAGCCTTATCAGTTGGACATTCCGGTTTTTATACTGCTTTTTTTTAATTCACTAACGCTCTAAAATGGATATTTCAGCCGCAGTAAAGAATCAACGTTGGCGGTTTTTGGTTCTTGACATCCTTTACGATCGGTTACGATGCGTAGAGTACGGAGACCTGTACGATTTCGTCAACTTAGTGAGTTTGATAGGGGCCGTATACTGGGACTTCGGGAAGCTGGACTTTCTTTTCGGGCAATTGCAGTTAGAGTGCAAAGAAGTGTAGACACTGTGGTTAGGTGTTGTCAGGCATGGCTTCGAGAAGGCCGTACGCAAAGAGCAAGGGGCACTGGACACCGCCGTAGAACAACAGACCGTGAAGATCGCCGCCTAAGATTATTGGCCTTAAGGGACCGTTTCTCCTCTACCAGGTCCATTGGAAATGAATGGTTTGCAGAACACGGAAGACCTATTGGTATGCGAAGTGTTTACCGACGAATGAGAAGTTTTGGCTTGTTTTCATACCGGCCACACTGGGTCCTCCCTTTAACTCGAGAACACCGACGTAATCGCTTTGAGTGGTGCAGACAAGGGTCACTCTGGGATCA